ATTGTATATTTTATTTTTTTTATTTAAAAAAAAATTTTCCCCAGTTACCCTTTAAAAAAAAAATTATTACAAAATTGTCAATTTCTTTATTCATTTTTTTTTTTTGTGAAGGAATAAATAAAAAAATAACAAATGACAAATTCAATACTTTGTATCAAAGCTGGTCAGACCAATGGAGCGACTACAGATGCAGCCGATACGTGCGATGTCGCGGTTCTCCGGGGCCGAAGGGTAAAAAGGCAGCCAAATGGATTTGCAGCGGTGCCGTCAGAATGGTGAATGGATTAGATTCGATGCGGAGGAGTTTGCCGAGAGGTCGTCGCCTTCGGACTATTTTTAGATTTATGCCCGAAGGTGGGAGATGCCGGTGAAACGGGAGCCCGCCCCGCCTGAAATACCAAACATCCCACCATGTCGGCGGGGTCATTATAATTAAATTAGTCGTAAATTTTCAACTCGGCCAATGAGAACGGGAAGAGTTATTATGATTGGTCGAGACGAGGTTTCTCCGCACACGGTCGCTTGGAAGCAGAGTAATAAGAGCCTCTAGAAGACATTAAATTCGATAGCGTGGACGAGTCTTCGGATTATGTAACTTTAATTACAGCCACTCGGCGTCTACAAAACGTCTGGTCCTTCCAAATATTGTCCAAGCATTATGTGCCATCCGAATAAAAACCATGTACGAGCAGGGGCGGACTGACCATTCGAGCCCGAGGGCCCGGGGTCAGAAGGTGGCCCCATGAGATGCCCCTGGTACCTTTTATTGGCTTTTTCATAGGCAAAAAAGCCTATGAAAAAGCCAATAAAAGGTACCAGGGGCATCTCATGGGGCCCCCTACTGACCCCGGGCCCTCGGGCTCGAATGGTCAGGGTGTGGGCGAGGACACAGGGGCCCCATGATCCCCTATTGCCCGGGGGCCCCATGAGTTGTCAGTCCGCCCCTGTGTACGAGATTTCTAAGCTGAAGATTGTAAAATGCAATAAAAATGAAGAAACAACTAATTGGTGCGCTGCCCCTTTAAATACACCATATTGCCGAAAGTATTGGGCCTCCAGCCTTTCCACGCACATGAACTTTAATGGCCTCCCAGTCTTAGTCCGTAGGGTTCAATATTGAGTTGGCCCCGTCCTTTCCACGCACATGACCTTTAATGGCATCCCAGTCTTAGTCCGTAGGGTTCAATATTGAGTTGGCCCCGCCCTTTCCACGCACATGACCTTTAATGGCATCCCAGTCTTAGTCCGTAGGGTTCAATATTGAGTTGGCCCCGCCCTTTGCAGCTATAACAGCTTCAACTCTTCTGGGAAGGCCGTCCACAAGGTTTAGGAGGGTGTCTATGGGAAGGTTTGACCATTCTTCCAGAAGCACATTTGTGAGGTCAGGCACTGATGTCGGGGGAGGAGGCCTGGCTCGCAGTCTCCGCTCTAATCCATCCCAAAGGTGTTCTATGGGGTTGAGATCAGGACTCTGTGCAGGACAGTCAAGTTCCTCCACCCCAAACTGGCTCCTCCATGTCTTTATGGACCTTGCTTTGTGCACTGGTGGGCAGTCATGTTGGAACAGGAAGGGGCCATCCCCAAACTCTTCCCACAAAGTTGGTAGCATGAAATTGGCCAAAAAGTCACCTTAAGAGTTCCCTTCACTGGAACTAGGGGGTCAAGTCCAACCCCTGAAGAACCCCACACCATAATTCCTCCTCCACCAAACTTTACACTTGGCACAATGTAGTCAGGCAAGTACAGTTCTCCTGGCCACCGCCAAACCCAGACACGGCCATCGGATTGCCAGACAGAGAACCGTGAGTGGTTGCTCCAGAGAACACGCCTCCCCTGCTGTACAGTCCAGTGGCGGTGTGCTTTACACCACTGCATCCGACGCTTTGGTGACGTAAGGCTTGGATGCAGCTGCTCGGCCATGGAAGCCTATTCCATAAGCTCTCTACACACTGTTGTTGTGCTAATCTGAAGGCCACACCAAGTTTGGAGGTCTTTAGCTATTGACTCTGCAGACAGTTGGCGACTTCTGCACACTGTGCGCTTCAGCATGCGCTGACCCCGCTCTGTCATGTGACGTGGCCTACCACTTGGTGGTTGAGTTGCTGTTGTTCCCAGTTGCTTCCGCTTTGTTATAATCCCACTAACAGTTGAGCGTGGAATATTTAGTAGCCAGGAAATGTCACGGATGGACTTATTGCACAGGTGACAACCTATCACAGGACCACGCTTGGAGTCACTGAGCTCCTGAGAGCGACCCATTCTTTCACCAATGTTTGTAGAAGCAGTCTGCATGTCTAGGGGCTTGATTGTATACACCTGTGTCCATGGAGGGGATTGGAACACCTGAATCACATGATTTGGGGGGCGGGCCAATGCTATTGGCAATATAGTGTGTATATATATATTTAGACACAATCCCCATCTGGCTTCCAGCTGTTAATTTCTCAGCATTATTTTATTGTATGACTTATTACATTTATTTATTGCAGGTTCATTTCTAGCACCGTCCAAGTACCCAATGATTTGCACCGCCATCATCGTATTGTCCTACCTTGAAGAAGTGTGTCCGTCCTTTTTAAGGCTTCTTGTTCTATGACTTTTCCTGTCTTTTCTCTAAATAAACAATTAAAAAATGTATGGGTCAAATAATGCTGGGTGTCATTCAACCTTGAAAACTAGGTACATCTTGTTCTGAAGAGGAATTACGGTGGAGACAACCCCAAAGAGGAGCTGCAAGGGGACCTTTACCATGACATGATTACCTCAGGTGACCTCAGGTGATGGGTCTGGGTCCAAAATGCCCGACAGCCACAGTATTTACTCAGTCTGGTGAGTTTTACTTGTGGGCTGAAGAATGGAGAAGACTATGGACATGTTGTGGTGAAGAGGAATTATGGTGGAGACAACCCCAAAGAGGAGCTGCAAGGGGACCTTTACCATGACACGATGACCTCAGGTGATGGGTCTGGGTCCAAAATGCCCGACAGCCACGGTATGTACTCAGTCTGATGAGTTTTACTTGTGGGTTAAAAAATGCTGGAAGACTAAAGACATCTTGTAGTGAAGAGGATTTACTGTGGGGACAGCCCAAAATAGGAATTGCTGGAGGCTATTTAACATGACATGATGACCTCAGGTGATGGGTCCAGGTCCATAATGCCCTGCAGCCACAGCATCTACTGAACCTTATGGGTTGAATAATGCTCGTTGTCATTCAACCTTGAAGACTAAAGACATCTTGTTGTGGTGAAGTGGAATTATGGTCGAGACATCCCCAAAGAGGAGATGCAAGGGGACCTTTACCATGACACAAGGACCTCAGGTGATGGGTCTGGGTCCAAAATGCCCTACAGCCACAATATGTACTCAGTCTTATGAGCTGTACTTGTGGGTTAAAGAATGCTCGAAGGCTAAAGACATCTTGTCGTGAAGAGGAATTTCTGTGGGCATAGCCCCAAATAAGAATTGCTGGAGGCCATTTACCATGACATGATGACCTCAGGTGATGGGTCCAGGTCCATAATGCCCTGCAGCCACAGCATCTACTGAATCTTATGGGTTAAATATTGCTGGGTGTCTTTCAACCTTGAAGACTAGGTACATCTTGTTGTGGTGAAGAGGAATTACTTTGGAGACAACCCCAAAAAGGAGCTGCAAGGGGACCTTTACCATGACACAAGGACATCGGGTGATGGGTCTGGGTCCAAAATGCCCTACAGCCACAGTATGTACTCAGTCTTATGAGCTGTACTTGTGGGTTAAAGAATGCTTGAAGGCTTAAGACATCTTGTCGTGAAGAGGAATTTCTGTGCGGATAGCCCCAAATAAGAATTGCTGGAGGCTATTTACCATGACATGATGACCTCAGGTTATGGGTCCAGGTCCATAATGCCCTGCAGCCACAGCATCTACTGAATCTTATGGGTTGAATAATGCTGGGTGTCATTCAACCTTGAAGACTAAAGACATCTTGTTGTGGTGAAGAGGAATTATGGTCGAGACAACCCCAAAGAGGAGATGCAGGGGGACCTTTAACATGACACGATAACCATAGGTGTTGGGTCCGGGTCCAAAATACCCGACAGCCACAGTATGTTCTCAGTCTGATGAGTTTCACTTGTGGGTTGAAGAATGCAGAAACCTATGGACATGTTGTGATGAAGAGGAATTACTGTGGGGACAGTCCAAAAAAAGGAAATGCTACGGGACCTTTACCTTGACATGATGACCTCAGGTGATGGGTCCAGGTCCATAATGCCCTGCAGCCACAGCATCTACTGAATCTTATGGGTTGAATAATGTTAGGTGTCATTTAACCTGGAAGACTAAAAACATCTTGTAGTGAAGAACAAATTACTGTGGCGACAGCCCCAAATAGGAGCTGCTATGGGACGTTTAACATGACATGGTGATCTCAGGTGATGGGTCTGGGTCCATAATGCTTTGCACCCAGTGTTATGGGTGGTATTTGTGGGTTGAAGAATGCTGGAAGCAGGGGCGGACTGACCATTTGGAAACTCGGGCATTGTCCGAGGGCCCGGGGTCAATAGGGGGCCCATGAGATGCCCCTGGTACCTTTTTCATAGGCTTTTTTGAGTTTGGGCAAGGACACAGGGGCCCCATGATCCCCTATTGCCTGAGGGCCCCATGAGTTGTCAGTCCGCCCCTGGCTGGAAGACTAAGGACATCTTGTAGGAAATACTGTGAGGACAGCCCCGAATAGGAGATGCAAGGAGATCTTTACCATGACATGGTGATCTCAGGTGATGGGTCTGGGTCCATAATTATTTGCACCAAGTCTTATGGGTTGTATTTGTGGGTTGAAGAATGTTGGAAGACTAAGGACATCTTGTAGGAATTACTGTGAGGATGGCCCCGTATAGGAGATGCAAGGGGATCTTTAACATGACATGGTGATCTCAGGTGATGGGTCTGGGTCCATAATGCTTTGTACCAAGTCTTATGGGTTGTATTTGTGGGTTGAAGAATGTTGGAAGACTAAGGACATCTTGTAGGAATTACTGTGAGGATGGCCCCGAATAGGAGATGCTAGGGGATCTTTAACATGACATGGTGATCTCAGTGGATGGGTCTGGGTCCATAATGCTTTGCACCCAGTGTTATGGGTGGTATTTGTGGGTTGAAGAATGCTGGAAGCAGGGGCGGACTGACCATTTGGAAACTCGGGCATTGTCCGAGGGCCCGGGGTCAATAGGGGGCCCATGAGATGCCCCTGGTACCTTTTTCATAGGCTTTTTTGAGTTTGGGCAAGGACACAGGGGCCCCATGATCCCCTATTGCCCGGGGGCCCCATGAGTTGTCAGTCCGCCCCTGGCTGGAAGACTAAGGACATCTTGTAGGAAATACTGTGAGGACAGCCCCGAATAGGAGATGCAAGGAGATCTTTACCATGACATGGTGATCTCAGGTGATGGGTCTGGGTCCATAATTATTTGCACACAAGTCTTATGGGTTGTATTTGTGGGTTGAAGAATGTTGGAAGACTAAGGACATCTTGTAGGAATTACTGTGAGGATGGCCCCGAATAGGAGATGCAGGGATCTTAACATGACATGGTGATCTCAGGTGATGGGTCTGGGTCCATAATGCTTTGTACCAAGTCTTATGGGTTGTATTTGTGGGTTTGAAGAATGTTGGAAGACTAAGGACATCTTGTAGGAATTACTGTGAGGATGGCCCCGAATAGGAGATGCTAGGGGATCTTTAACATGACATGGTGATCTCAGTGGATGGGTCTGGGTCCATAATGCTTTGCACCAAGTCTTATGGGTTGTATTTGTGGGTTGAAGAATGCTGGAAGACTAAGGACATCTTGTAGGAATTACTGTGAGGATGGCCCCGACTAGGAGATGCTAGGGGATCTTTAACAAAATAACCCGGAGTTGGGCTTTGAAGGAACTTTGTGGTCTTCATTCATAATCCTCTTGTCAATTGTCCTGCTACACTCACACGCAAATATGGAGAGCATGGGAAAAGAGAACACATTTCTGTTTATGTTTCAGCAATTACCAAGTGTTTATGGTTTGGTTTCATGAACCGTAACAGAGGGTCGATCAAACCGACCTAAGAAAACAACACCGTCACCACGTTTCCCACAGGTCAGCACAGACCTCCAGTCCCAGGACGATAACCTGATCAGATGTTTCAAGTAAATCATCTCTACGGAAACTTCTGTCAGTAAAGAAGAGATTTATTCCAAAGCATTTTTTTTTTAAAACAGTTCTTGGGAACTTGGGTATTTGTTTAGCTTTGTGAAGCCACAAAACACATTACACGCACGGTAGTTATTTCTAATCAGTCCATAATTCCCAAGGATAGTTTTAATATACAGTTGAAAGGGCGTGGGTTGGATGTGCTGGATCCAGAGTTGGCCTAGTTCCTCACTGCGAAGACACGTCCATGGTGTAGATAGCGATGACTCTTCTTCGGCAACTCTCAACCAACAAGGCCACGTCAACCATCCAACAACAGAGCTCAACTCTTTGAGGACACATGCGTGTATGTCATTTGGTCCAGGTGCTTCATTCACTTGGCAGCTTTCCAACCCAAAAGGATGTCAAGGATGAATACAGGAAGGAATAGGGATCAGCAGAGGAGGTGCAGCACTGTTAGAACATTACATAGTTAGTCAGGTTCAAAAAGACACAAGACCATCTAGTTCCACCAACCAGTAACAGAACTCAACTCTTTGAGGACACATGGGTGTATGCCATCTGGTCCAGGTACTCTGTCATTCACCTTCATTTTGTTGGCTGGACTGTATCAGTTTTGAACTATTGTGGTTCTTCTGGGGCTACGTCAAAGTCACTGTAGCCCAGACATTGTCTGTCACCTGCCTTCATTCTGTCTGGAGCGAAACATGTCCTACCTTGCATAGCTGTCATTGTTTATTCCAGCTGAGTTCCTCACTGAGAAGGTAGGTCCATACTGTAGATTGCAATGACCCTTCTTCTTAGGTGGCTCTCTAACGTGGCCTCAAGGCTGAATCCAGGAAGGTATCGGGATCTGCTCAGGAGGTATAGAGTTGTTACATAGTTAGGTAGAAAATAGATACAAGTCCATCTAGGTCAACCAACCAACAACAGAGCTCAACTCTTTGAGGACACATGGGTGTATGCCATCTGGTCCAGGTGCTCCATTCACCTTCATTCTGTCTGGACCGTATCAGTTTTGAACCATTGTGGTTCTTTTGGGGCTACGTAAATGGCACTGTAGTCTAGTTCATCCAACCAACACCAGAGCTAAACTCTTTGAGGACACATGGGTGTATGCCATTTGGTCCAGGTGCTCCATTCACCTGTCTGCACCATATAAATTTTTGAACCATTGTGGTTCTTTTGGTGCTATGTCAATGTCACTGTAGCCCAGACACAGTCCACCACCTGCCTAGCGAACATGTCCTATCCTTGCATAGCTGTCATTGTTAGTTGAGTTCCTCACTGAGAAGGTAGGTCCATACTGTAGATTGCAATGACCCTTCTTAGGTGGCTCTCTAACGTGGCCTCAAGGCTGAATCGAGGAAGGTATCGGGATCTGCTCGGGAGGTATAGAGTTGATACATAGTTAGGTAGAAAATAGATAGAAGTCCATCTAGGTCAACCAACCAACAACAGAGCTCAGCTCTTTGAGGACACATGGGTGTATGCCATCTGGTCCAGGTGCTCCATTCACCTTCATTCTGTCTGGACCGTATCAGTTTTGAACCATTGTGGATCTTTTGGTGCCACGTCAAAGTCACTGTAGCCCAAACACTGTCCATCACCTGCCTAGTGAACATGTCCTACCCTTGCATAGCTGTCATTGTTGGCTGAGTTCCTCACTGAGAAGGTAGGTCCATACTGTAGATTGCAATGACCCTTCTTAGGTGGCTTTCTAACGTGGCCTCAAGGCTGAATCCAGGAAGGTATCGGGATCAGCTCAGGAGGTATAGAACTGTTACATAATTATTCAAGTTGAAGAAAAAAAATGGATCGGGTAGCTATATAAAGCCCAGGAGTCCTGACTGATGGTGAAGTATCTCAGCTTAGGGCCACCAGACCAACATACAGGTCCTGGCCTGAGGAGGGCAAATACCCTACTGACCCCCCCAGCCCTGTCCTTCATTGAGCTCCATGATTGGTGCAGTGGCTCTTCAGCTATATTTCACTGGATCCAGGACAAATGAGTATAAGACCGACATGGAGGGGGGGGGGTGAAGGTTGAGGGACACCAAAGACAAAGCTACCCTTTAAGAAGACTGTTGAGATGACATTAAACTCTCGATTTCAGCAGCTGATTTTACTCCTTGTCTTCCTTTAATCTGGGACCACGAGCTCTGCCCCGTGTCTCCTTGTTTCAGGGTTCCTCCCGTTCTTGCATGCAGGGACCAGAGTTGTGTCTCTCTACACTGCGTGCGTCAATAGAAGAACACAGCCCCATAGCCTAGGATGGCAAGGCACTCCCCTGCTCCTTCCACATCCCACCCTACAGACTGACTGGAGACCGCACTGCTCCCTGTTAAATTTTTTCCCACGGAGACCGGAAGTTCAGGGAGGCAGCACTGAAAGAACAAGAGCCAGAAACAATGAAAGTTGTAAGCTGTGAGTGCTGGGAGTTGTAGTTTCGAGATGGCAGCCAGATAATGGGATGAGTAGACGTCCCACACCACAGATTCCGATGTGGCCCTGTGCAGTAGGAGGAGCCAAGAGATGAATTTTGGCAAACTGCCCAGTAAAGATCTCCTTCTTGGCACCGAGGGAGTTAGAGGGATAGAGAGCACCTCTGTCTGGATATGGAGACCCTACCAGCGGGGTCCTGAGACTGGGACTGGGAGTGAGGACAGTCAGGGACACAACCCACATCAGAGCACCTTCACCGCTGCCACAGGGAGACTGGAGCGTCCACTCAGCCTCCGCTCCCCACCGCTGATCACTGGAGGCTTTCTGTGAAAGACCAAAGGGGCCCCCTTTCTACAGCGAGCATCCTGGGGACGGGTGAGAGATCGACTCGCCCATTGCTGATATGGCCAGCTAGGACTGAGCCACCGAGAGCAGGACATCAGGTGCCTTGCACCCATGCCGAAACTATACTGTACCCAGGAACGGACTGACCATTTGGAAACTCGGGCACTGCCTGAGGGCCCAGGGTCAGTAGGGGGCCCCATGAGATGCCCCTGGTACCTTTTTCATAGGCTTTTTTGAGTTTGGGCAAGGACACAGGGGCCCCATGATCCCCTATTGCCCGGAGGCCCCATGATCCCCTATTGCCCGGAGTCCCATGAGTTGTCAGACCGCCCCTGACTATACCTATACTGCATGCAGTTTGCCTGGGACTGTCGCTAAGTGCGCCGAAGCTCCTAAAAGGACCCCAACAATAGTCGGCAGAAGAACATCTCAAAGGACTGCCTGTCCAGTTGTTCTGCAAGCCGCCTTTGTTCCTCTGCCTCCTCCGCTACCATGATTTTCTTTAATAATTATAATGTATATCCTTCTGTGTTTTTTTTTATTAAAAAGATAATAATTTATAGCAATCTGTGAATATTCAAAAAATAAAGAATAAAAAGAATAATTGTTTTTTTTTTTTTTACCAGTCTGTGAAAAATAAATAAATAAAGAATTAAAAAAAAAAAATTTACACCAATCAATGAAGATTAAAAAATATACCAATCTGTGAAGAATTAAACAAATAATAATAATTGATACCAATCTGTGAAGAATTAAAAAAAAATAATGTATATCAATCTGGTTTTTTTTTTTTTAATAAAAAAATACAAAAAAGATTTATATCAACCTGTGAAGGATGAAAAAAAATAGAGAATTAAAAAAAATATATATAATTTATACCAGTCTGTGAAAAAAAAGAATTAAAAAAATGATTTACACCAATCTGTGAAGATTAATTAAAATACAAATATGTGAAGAATTAAAAATTAAAAAATAATAATAATAATAATATTAATAATAATAATATCAATCTGTGAAGAATTAAAAATCATAATAATAATAATAATAATAATATCAATAATAATAATAATAATAATATCAATCTGTGAAGAATAAAAAATTAAGAATAATAATGTAAATCAGTCTGTGTTTTTTTTAATTACAAAGAAATTATTCAAGTCAACCTGTGAAGGATGAAAAAAATAGAGAATTAAAAAAAAATTATAATTTATACCAGTCTGTGAAAAAAAAAGAATTAAAAAAAATTAATTACACCAATCTGTGAAGATTAATTAAAATACAAATATGTGAAGAATTAAAAATTAAAAAATAATAATAATAATAATATTTTAATAATAATAATATCAATCTGTGAAGAATTAAAAAGAAATAGGAATAATAATGTAAATCAATCTGTATTTTTTTAATTACAAAAAAATTATTCATATCAACCTATGAAGTATGAAAAAAATAGAGAATTAAAAAAATTATAATTTATACCAGTCTGTGAAACAAAATGTAAAAAAAATATTTACACCAATCTGTGAAGATTAATAAAAATACCAATCTGTGAAGAATTAAAAATAATAATAATATCAATCTGTAAAGAATTAAAAATAATTATAATAATGTATATCAATCTGTGTTTTTTTTTTGAAGGATTAAAAAAATAAAGAATTAAAAAAAAATAATAATTTATATCAGCCTGTGAAAAAAAATAAAGAATTAAAAAAATAATTTACACCAATCTGTGAAGATTAATAAAATTACCAATCTGTGAAGAATTAAAAATAATAATAATAATAACAATTTTAATCTGTGAAGAATTAAAAAAAAAAGTATAATAATGTATATCAATCTGTGTTTAAACAAAAATACAAAAAATCATTTATCTGTGAAGAATTAAAAAAAAAAGAAAATAATATTAATAATAATAATATCAATCTGTGAAGAATTAAAAAAATGTATAATAATGTATATCAATCTGTGTTTTTAAAAAAATATTTAAAAAATCATTTATATCAACCTGTGTAGGATTACAAAAATAGAGAATTTAAAATAAATTATAATTTATACCAGTCTGCGAAAAAAAAAGAATTAAACAAATTATTTAATTAAACCAATTGTGAAGATTAATAAAAATACAAATATGTAAAGAATTAAAAAATAAATAAATAATATTAATAATAATAATATCAATCTGTGAAGAATTAAAAAGAAATAAGAATAATAATGTAAATCAATCTGTATTTTTTTAATTACAAAAAAATTATTCATATCAACCTATGAAGTATGAAAAAAAAAAAATTTAATGAAAAAAATTATTTTTATACCAGTCTTTAAAAAAAAAAAATTTAAAAAAATTGATTTACACCAATCTGTGAAGATTAATTTTTTTTTTTTTTACAAATCTGTGAAGAATTAAAAATAATAATAACATCAATCTGTGAAGAATAATAAAAATAAAGAATAATAATGTATATCAGTCTGCGTTGTTTCAATTTTTTTTTTAAATATTCAAATCAACCTGTGAAGAATGAAAAAAAAAAGAGAATTTAAAAAAATTATAATTTTTTTTTTTTATTTTTATTTTTTTTTTTTTTAAAATTTTTTTTAATTGATTACAACAATCTGTGAAGATTAATAAATACAAATATGTGAAGAATTAAAAATAATAATAATAATAATTATATAATATCAATCTTGAAGAATTAAAAATAAAAATAATAATAATGTATATCAATCTGTGTTTTTTAATTACAAAAAAATTATTCATATTAATATGAAGTATGAAAAAATAGATAATTAAAAAAAAAAAATTATTTTAATACCAGTTTGTGAAAAAAAAAAAAGAATTAAAAAAAATATTTACACCAATCTGTGAAGATTTATAAAAATACCAATCTGTGAAGAATTAAAAATAATAATAGTATTTTTCTGTAAAGAATTAAAATAATAATAATAATTATAATAATTATTATATTTTTTTTTTTTTTTTTTTTTTAAAAAATACAAAAAAATTTTTTATATTTTTTTGTGAAGGATGAAAAAAATAGAGAATTAAAAAAAATTTTATTTTTTATACCAGTTGTGAAAAAAAAATTTTTAAAAAAATGATTTACACCAATCTGTGAAAATTAATAAAAAACAAATCTGTGAAGAATTATTAATCATAATAATAATAATAATAATAATTTTAAAATAATAATAATATTAATCTGTGAATATTAAAAAAATAAGAATAATAATGTTTATATTTAGTCTGTGTTTTTTTAATTACAACAAATTATTCAAATAACCTGTTAATTAATTAAAAAAATAAATTAATTAAAAAAAAAATAATAATTGATATCAGTTGTGAAAAAAATAAAGAATTTTTTTCATTTACACCAATCTGTGAAGATTAAAAAAATACCAATTGTTTTTTTTTTTTTTTAAAAAGAAAAAAATATTAATTTTAATAATATCAATCTGTGAAGAATTTTTTTTTTATAATAATTTATATTTTTTTTTCTGTGTTTAAATTTTTTTTATTTAAAAAATCATTTATATTTTTTTTTTTTTTTAAAAATAGAGAATTAAAAAAAAATTATAATTTATATAGTCTTGAAAAAAAAATAAAGAATAAAAAAAAATTTATTTATTTTACAAACTCTTTTTTAGATTAATAAAAAAATATTATCTATTTTTTTAAAAATAATTTTATTTAAAATAATAATAATAATAATAATAATATATCAATTGTGACGAATTTAAAAAATGTATAATAATTATATCAATCTGTTTTTAAAAAAATATAAAAAAAATAATTTATATTTTTTTTGAAGGATTTAGAGAATTAAAAAAAAAATATTTTATAGCAGTTTTTTTTTGAAAAAAAAAAAAAGAATAAAAAAATTATTTTTTTAATTTTTTATTTTTTTTGAAGATTAATAAAAATTATTTTTTTTGAAGAATTTTTTTTAATAATTTTAATAATAATTTTTTTTTATTTTTTTAATGAAGAATTTTTAAAAAATGTATTTTAATGTATATTAATCTTTTTTTTTTTTTTTTTTTTATAAAAAAAAATTTTTTATATTTTACCTTGAAGGATTTTTTTTTTTTTTTTTTTATAGAGAATTAAAAAAATTATAATTTTTTTTTTTCTGTTTTTTTTTTTTTTTAAATAAAAAAATTATTTTTTAAATTTTTTTGTTTTTTAATAAAAATTTTTTCTTGAAGAATTATTATTTTTATTTTTTTTTTTTTTTTTATTTTAATATAATATGAGAAGAATTTTTTAAAATTTTTTTTTTTTAAAAAAATAATTTATTTTTTAAAATTTTTGAAAAAAAAATAAAAAATTTTTTTTTTTTTTTTTACACCAATAAATTTATTTTTTTTAAAATTTTTAAAAAATTATAATTTATAACCAATGTTTGAAGAATTAAAAAAATAATAATAAAAAAAATTAGAATAATTTTATTTTATTATGTAAGCAAAATATATATTTTTTTTTTTTTTTTTTTTTTACTTGACATTTTTATTTTAATCATTTTTTTTTTTTTTTTTTTTTTTTTGCACTCGGGGTTTTTTTTTTTTTTTTTTTATTTTTTATTTTTTTCGCTACATTTAAATTTCGCGCAGCATTTTTATGTTTTTTTTTTTTTTTTTTTTTTTTACATTTAATTTTAATTTTTAAAACAACGAGATTCAGAGCACAAAGACGGAATAATATTTTTTTTATCATTTTTTTTTTAATCATTTTTTTTTTTATTTTTTTTTTTAGATTATCATTTAATCCCTTTCCTGGGATTTTTTTTTTTTTGCATCATATTTTTTAAAGTTCTAAACATATTTAAGAAAATCATATAAAAAAAAAACTTTTTTTTTTTTTTTTATTTTATCAATAATAAAATTTTTTTAAAGCGTTAATAAACCCAAAAACAAAAATTTTTTTTTTTTTTTTTTTTTTTTTTTTTATTTTTTGAGATTTATTTTTTTTTTTTTTTTTTTTTTTTTTTTTTTTTTCTTTATTTTTTTTTTTTTTTTTCCGGCCATTTTTCTTTTTTTTTTTTTTTTTTTTTAATTCCTTTTTTTTTTTTTTTATTTTTTAAGACAAACCATTTTTTTTTTTTTTTTAATGATTTTTTTTTTTTTTATTTAAAACCTTTATATAAAGCTATAATTTTTTGCTTTTTTTTCCAGATTTTTTTTTAATTTTTTATTTTTTTTTTTTCATACAGGAGGTTTTACTGGCCAATCACCCGGTTTTTTTTTAAATTTTTTAGCCGAAAAAAAAAAAAACGAATGCATTTATTATTTAATTTG